CAATTTATATACTGCAATTATGATAATCACCAAGCAAGCCATCTCACAATAGTCATGTCACCATATATGGTGACACTAAAAGTGACGTGGCACCCTTTTTCTTTTATCAACTTACAAAGATTTGTCAGATATAGTCCCGTTCTCCTGCCCGTGCCCGCGGCGGGCAAGCTTATAATACCCACTCGGAGAGAACCCAACGTGGAATTCTCACATTTGGAGAGAACCCCACGTAGGGTTCTCCTGCCACATCAGCAGGTGAGCAGGATAAGCCTCCCCGCCGCGGGCAGGAGAACATTTTCGTTGTCCGATAATTTCACAAGATTATAATATGAGATTAGTGTGTACTTCTGGTTTGAGCTAAACGAGTTGCAAGTGTGAGAGCTAAATTTGAACTCGCGTGTCCTCTTTGGATGAGGATGATCCCTTTTATGGTGGAGATTTCCCTTCATACCATCCATGTCACATCATTCTACAATGCTTCTTCTTTGGAGTGCAAGATTTTGCTATTTGTATACTCAATTTCTACATATTTGATGACACTTACATTGTTGTCAAAAAGTGGTTGGATAAAAAAACAATTTTTTAAAACTGTCAAATGACAATTTTTCACGTAGCAAAGTGTAAACAAAGGTGTATACCATGTATGATTCCTGAATGCATGCTTTTGAGATGGCGAAATTGCTACAATTGGAGGAAATGGACGGTACTGGCAATCCAATGATGACTTAGAAACTAATTTCCGACTATAGAATATCCTGTTAAGACTGTGCTAAATGTATATAACAATTTACATAATTGTTTACTAACAAATAATGTGATAAGATTTAGTTGGACAAAATCTTATTAATCAAATAACTTATCGACTTGTATTTTAACACATAATCATTATATAAATAGTTATGTAAAAGAAGCATTTTCTACCACATTGAGGATTGTGACAAGCTTTTTATAGCGGTGCTAACACAAGGGGACAAGCCAAATTGTAGTTAATAATTAGATCCACAGTTTACTTTGAGGTTGATAGCCTTTTGATCGGATCTAAATTTTATGAATTTTTATTGAGACCATTTTAACTTTGCATTTTTCCTTCAAATCATGCAATATGTACAATTTTATTTGACAATTTTAATTGATAATTCACACTTGTCAACATTACATTCATTAATTTCAAAAACTGTTATTAAAATCAATTATGCAAATTTTGACAACATCAAAGTTGTCAATCATAATTGTCAAGTATGATTGTACAAATAAGTTAATTCTTTTTCTTAAGATGTCAACATATTGAATTTGTCTCCTGTTGCCTATTGAGGTGGGGCCGCATTTTTTAAATGGTCAAGTCAAACACCATTTTCAACACATAGACCTAACTTACTAATTGTTCACCACAATAAATTTTTTAACATTAAAAGACAAACATACCCTTCATTTCAAAATAAAAAAGCCGGATTTCTCCCCCCGGGCCCCCTGAGCCACTCGGACCACCCTGAATCCCCTGACCATCTGGACCCCCCATACCTTGTCAATATATAATAGATCTGTTGTGATTTCTTTACAAATTTGAATTTCTTCGACATAATAAAAGAATTTTTGTTTAAATCTTTGAATATTAAAGTTAAAAACATATTATCCATCAATATTATAAGTAAAAAAATATGAATTTAGCCAAATAATATGAAAAAACCTTGAACATGGAGATGGAGATGGAGATGGAGATGGGTGAAAAAATCTTGAAGAATGACGATGGAGATGGAGGTGGAGATTGAGAAGATGAAGAAGCATTGAAAAACAAGAAATGGTAAGATTTTCAAGTTCTTCACGTTTACAAAGGAGGTAAATGGTATTGTCAATTCTTTAAATTTTTTTTTTAAAATTTGATCAAAAGTCATTGTTGAAAAGTGGCCAGATCAACCGGCCATCTATCACCATTTCCTCGTCGAGGTGGGTATCCTAAAGTCACGTGAAGTGGGCTCCATCTTTCTTTTGGGTACAACAATATATTCCATTAGAAACTTCATCAAATCATAAAATTATGTCATTTCCTGTCGAGGTGGGTATCCTAACGTCACGTGAAGTGTGCACAATCTTTCTTTTGGGTACAACAATATGTTCCATCAGAATCTTCATCACATCATAAAATTCTGTAGTGATTAAGTTGTATATTTGATGTAAAAACATCATATGCATACAACCTTGATCACTTGCAATTAGCATAAATGTTTAAGACCCTATTTGGGAGGCATTTGTATCTAATTTTTTAGAAGAAATCACGCCGTAATACAGTACCATGTTAGGGAAGAAGGGCCTCAATGTTGCCCCCGGGGCACATCCCAACAGGCAAAGACGGAACTCTTAGTTGCTGGTAGTTCAAAGGCCGCGAGTTCGATTCTTGGGGCTCTTGAAAGACAGACTCTCTCTTAGAAGGCATGATTTATTCTGAAAGGCAGGAGTTCTCCTGTAAGACAAGATGCAACATGTATTGACTCACTCGACACTTTGACAGATCAGTGGAGGGAGCTTTTTGACCCTGGCCAGTTTGGGACACATCACGTAATTTACCTGGTCTGCATCTTGAGAGATCAAGGAATAGATCCCAAGATTATTCGTCAAAGGTGAACATCTGGCTATAAAAAAAATGGAAGAAGAAGGGCCTCAATGTTTGACTGAAATAATTGATATCAATGTGCCCGTATAATTTAATTCACCCCTACGTAAAAGGGAAAGTTTTGGCATAGAAGTGCATTTGGTGTCAGTAATCACTGTACAAATGGGCCCCATTGACATATCAAACGGTCAAAACGAATTAAAAGATAGTAGAAAATGGGGGTTTAGGAAAGGCACTAAATCAACCAATAAAGAGACAATAAATGGGATCTTTAATTTCAACTGCGCCCACTCAAACCATTAGTCACTTATAATTGACATTCTTGTAATTGCAAGATAGTTTTTCGAAAGTACCAATATTTTGCAAGAACTTCTTTAGAGCATGTTGGTTGTATCAAACTAAACTGTAACAAACACGACGACAACAAACGTAATTTAACTTAATTTTTTTTTGTTTAATCTATTTCAACTCAGTCCAAGGACAAATAGTTTCTGCGAATCCAGTGTTCTTCTCACAAGATCCTCCGAATGAAGTTTATTGTAGTTCTTGTTGCACAGTTTTTTGAACTATATGAAGCACCCCTTGGCGGCAGAAATGGTGGTTCAGCCTTTTCAGTCACCACTACCTTATTCCCAGCTCTAATATATCATCATATACAACATTAATATACCTAAAATAACTATCCACGTATTCGAGGACTGTCTTGGTCAAAACAATGAAAATAGTGTCCGAATAATGCTGCTTTGCCGGGGTGATTGATAGAAAATTGGGTGACAGGGTGGGGTGACAACAATTTATTGGTGTTGTTTTTTTTTATTTTTCAAACTATTCAATTATGTATTAACACGCGTCTCCCTATTTTTAAATGTGACATTGAGTGTGTCGTTGTAGCAAGGCTCATAGTGTCCATAATCACCCAAGAACTAAAACCCACAAACAACTTGAACTCGGGAACCAAGAAAACACAACCACAACTCATCTAGAATATATATATAATTTTTTTTTTTTTAGCCCTGGTCCAATACCGCCCAAGGCATAGGCTATCCGATCTATTTTGACAACCCTAATGTGGCAAATAAAGAATCATATTTGGACCTAATCGTAACTAACCTAACCACCCGCATTGACTAATCCTGCTATAACTAAGTCCATGTTTGGCCCTCATTTTATAAAACTCATTCTTCTTCAAATATATTTTCAACAATACGTTTCACGAGATTCACAACTTTTACAGTTCCACATTTTATCAACTTTCATTAAAACATTCTAAAAAATTGATTTTTATCTAACTCAAACATGGCTAAATTGCAGCAACTTATAAGTGCACTATCACAGGTGGACTGTACTTTTAAGAAAAAACAGAGAATTCGAAGCTAATGGCATATCTAGTATGAATTAAACTATATGTAATTGTGATTGACATGGTGGTTGACGTCCTCACCTATGTGGAAGAAATATGTGCAACGATATGATAGATGTGTTCAAAATCAAAAGTGTATATCTTAACACACAGAAGAATGTAAAAGTTAATGTACACCGTTTACGAGAGAACATTAAAACAACCAGTAATTAAATTATAAACCAATAAGATGCAAGAACAACAGAAGCTTAAGTACTTTTTTCTGACAGCAGCTGATTAATTAAAGCATCCAATTAGCAACTTATTTGGTGTGGTGTTAGTTGAACGAAACTTTGCAGCTGTCTCTTCCACCTTGAGAAAATCTTCCTTTTTTTTGGCTTCAATCATTGCCCTTTTTTCTTCAGCTGCTTTGTGAATTTCAGCAATTTTGTTCTTCATCTTTTCGCGGTATTCTGCTTTCTTCTTTTCAAATTCTTCCTGCTCATCGGTATTTCATACGTCGAAGAACTTAATTCAACTCAAAAGCAAATGATTCAATGTCATGGTGAATTCAAGAAAAAGACAGAGATTTCATATTTTATAGCATGTTTAGTAGACGGTAAAGACTAGATTTTTAACTTTTTTTCTTCTTCAGTACTAAATAGTTGAGTACACTCTACCGAACAAGACGCTTTTTCAATATCCTCATGTGGTTATTGAACATCCCAAAGTACACAAACAGCCATAACTAACTGAACAAAAATCAAAATTTGAATCAATACAATCCTTCAAGATCATGTGACTTACTTGAACTCAGGGGGGTTGTCACTACTCTGCTAGTTTTCCTGTTATGGTTTATTACACGAACATTTTGAAGTTTTATTTCTTTTGCTGAATTATTTTAGTGATTTGTCTCGTGTCAAAGTGTGTGCCTCGAGGCTCGCCTCATGTTAGCAAAAGGCCTTAGTACCCAATTCAACGATCGTAAACTAGTTGAAATTAGTTTTGTAAATCCTTTCTTTCCTTGGTGGCTTAGTGATTGTATCTAATGCTTTTACATCATAAGGAAATAGCTAATGTGAGCAGAACACACAAAATTAAGCTTCAACAAACGGCAGAAAATCAAGAAATTTTCACCTCAATTTGCTTTATTTGTGCCTCAACAGATGCTCTCTTAGCATTTTCCCAAGATTCTACAGCAGACGTCTTTTTATAGGCCCTGAAACATAATTTCAATTAAAAAATTTCTTTTAACTCAAGCAGAGAGTTCTTTGCATATTTGGCAAGATTTATGCTTGAAAACGAAAAACAAAAATCGAAAATAGTTTAGAGTTTCCTTTTGCATCAGTTTTTGCAAATTGCATATAAGAAATTCCAAAATAGACTAGAATTTTGCTACTTTTCTCTGTATATCTCTATTTTCTTTGCTATTGAAGGGCTACTCTTCCAAGAAAAATCCTCCCCACTATCCCCATGACCATATTAAGAGTTTATGACGCTCTCTAAATACAATATATATATATATATATTTTTATTTATTTATTTATTTATTTATTTATATATATTTTTTAAAGAGTTAATTNTATTTATTTATTTATTTATATATATTTTTTAAAGAGTTAATTCTCAAAAATAAGCTCCAAAAGACTCTCCAAATTTAGACAGCCAATCTCAGAAATAAGTGCAACTTGCAAGACAAACTCCACCCTTCCTCCACCCCACAAAAAATTAAGAAAGAAAGAATGAAAAAATGACAAATTAAATTAAGAAAATTGTACTTATTGTCTGCTTTGGTTTTTTCACTGTCTTCCCATGCTTTGATCAGAGCCAGTCTTTTCTCCAATTCAACTCGTGCAAGAGCAGCATCTGCTAAATACAATACAATATATCACAAAGACAATTTTATTATATAATTGACTGATCAAATATGCATATTATATAAAACAACCAGTTTCCCGTTAATTATACCTCTATCCTTGACATCTCCCCCACTCTTTTCAATCCCATGATCTGCAGCCTCTGTCACAAACCCAAGAATTTCAACAATCTGATATAACCCTATGATCAAGTTACGAAAATAATGAAAAGCACTTAATACAAGAGGAAGTGAAGTACTTTGAGCAACTGGAAGGGGCTTAGGGGGAGTGATTTTCTCATCTGGAATTGTAACAACTGTCTTCCGAAATGATACATGATTTGGAGCTTTAATTTCAATAGGGGCTTCTTTTGTAGCTGGAAATTCTTCTGGTTTAACTCTTTTTGACTCCTCCAATTCTCCCATATTCATATACAAGTTTTAGGAGTAGTTTTCTGTGAGAATATTGTACCTGTCACTTGAATTTGCAACGGAAAATACTCTTAATCTTCAAGAATTTGAGAGAGAGAGAGAGAGAGAGAGGAGAAGGTGTTCGGTAAATATAGTAGAGAAGCTGCCAGAAAAGGTGCAAGGTGATTTTAGTCTATGTATGGACATTATTTTCCAAAAAAACTCATAATAATAATAATTTAATGATTTTCCTTGTTATTGGTAGCATGTTTGATTAAGATTAACAATTATTTTTAAGTATACCTGTCTCTAAATATATTTGAAAGAGATACAGTTTTACTTATGACTAAAAAAAGTCACTTATTCTATCTGATAGCAAGGTAAAATAGCTTTTTAAATAAATAACTTATTTCAAGACCAAAAATGAAATTTTTTAAATTTTTTAAGTTTCTTATTTAAACGTAATTTTTTTAAACTTATCAAACATGCTGGTTTTAGACATTTCCCAGCATGTGTACACATAAGAAAAAGAAATTGTGACTTATTTTTAAGATCAAGAAAAATATATAATTTGAAAATTACATATTTACTTACAATGAATTTTTATTTTTATTTTTAGCTTAGCCAAACATGCACTTTCATTTACCAATTATTGGACATAATTGGGTTGTAAGTTTACCATATCAACAAATAAACAGTCTGGTATTCTTGCTATATAGAAATGACCATTTAAATGAGTAATTCATTTATTTTGAAAATAGAAATAAGTACTCAAAACTTTTTCCATTTTACTTTTCAGTAAATTATTTATTTATATCAACCTTATATAATCTAATAAAAAAAATATTAATTTATCTCCCTGCTCAAAATCGAAACGTAAAATAATATTAGATAAAAAAGAATTAACCTATCGAGAATTAAATTACAACATATGTACATTGATTTGGATAATCTTAGCAATAATTAATTCATCAGACCAAATCTAAAGCGAAACTACTTGCAGAAGTTTCAACTATGAACTCGACGTGTTCGTGAATAATAAGGTTGTCCTGTCACATTTTTGAATAGTTTAAGATGATTAAACCTTGAATTAGCCATTAAGTTAAGATAAATAATGTGGTAATGTGTCATAATCTTTTGGAAAAAAAAAATGCTTTAGATGATACCTAGGTATCTTAGATGCTTGTCCACTTTTCTAGGTTTTGGAACCCCTTCAAGATTGGTTTTTTTATTTAATTAAAAACAAAGATTGGTAAAATAGATGATGCAAAATTTGAAGAGAAATGAATAAGTAGTAACGTTGACAATAATTTCAAAGAAAATTGGAATTAGGATCACTAAGGCCTTGTTTGATTGACTGAAATGTCCCATGGAAAATGAAAAAGAAATTTCATCTTCCACTTTAAGCATGTTTGATACAATAAATTTTCTTGGCAATTCATTTTCTTAATTTTGGCTCACACAATTCCAATTCCTTGTTTTTGATGAAAATCAATTTCCACCAATTTGGTGGGATTTGAATTTCTAGTTTACTTTTTTTTTTAGAAAAATTTTAAATTTTTTTGGCAATGAAAACAAATTATATCCCCAATTGTAACAAATTTGATTCTCTTAATTGACAATTTTCATGTAAAATAAAGTCAAACGAATACAAAAATATTCAAAATTTTAATATTTTCCATGTGAAAAATTATATTAATCAAACACAATTAATTGATAATTTCCAAAAAAACAATTCTAGGCAATTCAATTCTCTAGAATTTATTTTCTTTCCACCCAAATTTTATTCTTACAATCAAACGGACTCTAAATGGAATATGGAGCAGATCAATCGAATTGGAGGTAGAATTTGGAGATCGCCTTAGTAGATTTTGCCCCTTTTTCGCTGTGTGAATTCTCACCTAATATGCATATAGATCTAGACTCAAAGATACTATTCCCAACGATAACCTCCTTTGAAGACTTTCACGAAATATTTTTATTCCAATTATTTATTGTTTTCTCAAAAAATGCTACACTTACAGTTTTTTTACACATACATTTTGACAACCCTCTCACATGGGTCGAGGGCCCCGCCGCTATGTGAGAGGGTTGTCAAACTTAATGTGTAAAAAGGCTGTTGATTCAACCTTTTTCTTGTTTTCTTGCTACTCATTGTAATAGAGACTACGCGTGAAAAGTTGTATTGTGAAAAGTCGTATGAAGATATTTGGATGTAAGATTATATGTCCTCCATAAGCCCACTTTGATATTAATACTCTCGGTATGAGTAACTATTGAAAACAGGTAATTTGCAATCTCTAATACAAAAGCAATTGAAGTACAAAACATTAAAGAAGGTTTTGGAAGAACAAGTATTGACTCCGGAAAGTTGGTCTTCATTTTAGATGAAGGCTTGCCTTAAAAATTGGAAGATATACTTGAAAAACATCTAGCATTGAAGATTGATTTTCGAAAGACCCAACAACTCTAAAATTTTCTATTGTACACTAATAAAGTGGAGTTTATACTGTGGAAATTATCGTGAATGCAGTTATCGTAAAAAGGATAAAAACTTAAATTGACTTGTAGTCTTTAAGTTAGTATTTCCAATTATAACAACACCTTCGAAGATTTTCACAAAACCTTTTATGTAAATTTATTATCGTTTTCTCGCTACTCATTGTAATAGAGGCTTCATGGGAAAATTTGAATTTTGTAGATCTTTGTGGGTAAGATTGAGTAATTGTTAAAAAGAGTAATTTGTATTCTCTAATTACTTTGGAATTACAGAAATATTACAAGACGAAAACGTAAAAGAAAGTTTTGGAGGAACAAGCGTGACCACGAAAAATTGGAGCCTTCAATTTGAAAAATGAAATCTTACCTTGAAAACTAAAATTCTCTAATGTAGAATAAGAGCGGAGCTTGTAGTATAGAAATTATTACGAATGAAGAGATTGAAAAAATACTAAAAACTTAATACTAAATTGAAGCTACTCTTTGTACTCAAGAAAACATGGAGGAGTGTGTTATTGCAACTCTTGTAAAATTCCTTCAATAAAATTACAGATTCATAAAGAACTAACTTCTGCACCCTACGGATTTGGTATCAGAGGGGTTAAAATAAAATCATTCAATAGCCACACTCGAGAACCATGGCTTTTTCTGAAATCGTGAAGGTTGATATAATATTTCAGCTTTTGCATAATCAAATTTCAAGTTGAATCTTTAATTCAGCAAGAGAAAAGCTGTAGTCACCATTATTGAATACCAGAAAGTTGAGGACGTGGAAGAAGAAAAAGAAATAGAGAGAAGATATGAAGCATTCTTCCAAAGATAAGGTTGTTCAAGATAGTCATGGAAAGAAAGTTTTGATAACAAAAGCAATTGAAGAAGGTTTGGAAGAACATGTGTAGATCATAGAAATTGGAGTCTTCATGTTGGAAGAAGAGGTCTTGCCCGGAAAACAAGATGTACTTTGGAAAACGTCTAGCATTTAGAGTGTGTTTGTCTCTCATTATTGAGAGAAAAATAGAATGGGTATGTTTGGTGCACATTAAAATGAGTGAATACATTTTTTTGAAGTGATGTGATGAGGAATATGTGGTTGAAAAAGAAAGAAAAAAAATATTGATTTGATGAAAAATATTATTTTATTGAAGAATGTGTTGTTGAAAATGAGTAAAAGAATGAGAATGAAAAAAATAATGTAGCTCAAACATCGGCTAATTAATAGTATTTTTTGGAGAATATGTGGTTGAAATTTAAAGTAACTCTATTAGTTTGTGTACAGAATATTTTATTGGGTGAATGTGTTGGAGAGAATCTTACTGTAGCAAACAATTTTTTGGAATAATGATAAACAAACGGGGGCTTAATATTGTTCTTTGATTGACCCAATGACTTTAAAATTCTCTGTTGTATTCTATAAATAGAACATGACATAATATCCATTAATTTTTACAATACACTATCACATTACGGACTTGATTTTGACACAGGAGGAATGTCAACAACAATGTGATCAAGGAGAATGTATGTATAGCTTAATTCTAGAAATTATCACTAATGAAGTGATCTTAAAAATTAAAAAAACTTTTGAGAATTTCCAAGAAACTCCCTATTTTTAAAAATCATATTTTACAATTTAGAGAGTAGCTATAGTAAAAAATTAAATACTACGATAGTCTCTTTATCTTTAACTCAATTTTATTACTCTCAATATGTATTTATTATTTTTCTCTATCTTTTATTTTCACCAACTTTACTTCATATTATTATATTATTTACCTCAATTTTCTTTGTATATAATATTTAGTTGAGACAATAAATAGAGAATTCAAAATTAAAATATTTTGAATGCATTTAAATATAAAAAGTGTATTCAACTTTACAAATTTGTATAGTCAAAGCCCATACTCTATTTTAAAATGTCAATTTAAAGAATCTCTTAAAGCATTTTGATTCTTTAAAATAGAGAGCGTTTACTTTTAAAGAGCCTTTTTGAAATCCTCTTAGCACGAGGTATAGCTACTCCTTTGTAATCACGTAAAATATAGAGTATGATGTAGCAAGTTGAGATCTGTTGTCCAAAATTGATTGTTTAACTTACTGTCCACTCAATGATTCATCGACACGTCATTTTAAATTAACATGTCTAATTTTTCTCTCATTGTCACTTGTGAGCCAATGAATCATTTGTGGACAGCAAATTGGATAGCGAATCTCAACTTTGATATAGCAATTCTTTTAAAATCCAATCAATAAATTGCAAATTTCATAAACACCCAACAACAATGTCGAACTCCGGTTCACGCGAGTAGTCATAAAAACCCTTACCTCGCTTAAAAGGCATTTACCTCAAAAGAACTAGAATCATGCTACACAATCAGAGATGTTAACATAATTCTTGATAAAATATCACATGATATTCTATTATTGAACTGTTTAAACCACGATCAATTTTTCTATCCAATCATATTTTTCCAACACCAATCATATCAAAATATCTGTCAACATCTTTCTTGTAAAGCCGCTTTATCCAAAAAATTGAAACTGACTACACATTGTCTCTAAAGGCGTTGTCCAAACTGCAGATCACTTAAATCTTTTTATCATTTCCTCTTTCAAAAGTTCTACCTTAAAAGTCTCCATTCATCAGCATCTTGTTGAAACGCGTGTTCTAATGGTAAAGTCGTAAAGAGGAGTAGAATAAAGTAAAGAAAAGACATTAATCAAGAATATTAGTATACATGGATGCATAAGAATATATCCACGCGTCTAAGTGCAAAAAAAAAGGGTCCCAAAACTTTGAAGAAAACCAAGTGCACCTTGTTGAAACAAAAACATGGTCCTGCAAGCCCATAGAGTTGCCCCATTAACTCACCTTCCAAATTAAGAGGTTTATATACACATATATAAATTCAATGGATGTGTACATTTCTGAAGAGTATGTTATTCAGAGAAGACTTGAGAAAAAAGCTATAGTGTCTAATGGCAGTAAAAACCCTAATGGGAAAGTTGAACGGGGCAGAAGGTTGGAGAAGGAGAAAATGACGCGGCCTCCACCCTGTGGCCTTCAGCATGAGTATAAGATTCAAAGTTTCCAAGAAAATGTAGTTTTCAGTTGCTTTTCTGCATGATGTATTTTTGTGTTGAGGCTGTTAATTAGCGAATGTCTGCTTAAATAAAATCATGGGTTAGTGTGCTTTAATTCAAGCAAAAATATGCATTTATAATCTCTTATTTCTCTTGTTTGCGCTTTTGTCTACATGAATGTACTCTAGCGGGACAAAATCGTTGTTGAAGCCATTACACATGTGCAAGTTACTCATTTGTCAGATGCTAATATATATTTTGCATCCAAGTTGTCCATTACTGATGCCCGTTCCTCTTGTCGTGAACCGAATTGTCTAAAGAACACGATACACTCTTCATTTTTAAACATGAAAATTAAATGCTGTCATTAAGTTGACTTTAACATTTAAATTAATCATTTTCAAAAAGAGTTCTTTATTGTCATATTTTTTCAGATATTTTACTCGCAACTTTTCATTTATAGGATCAAAGATATATCTAAAAAATCACAAAAAAAAAGGTAAATAATTAACCAACAAACATAGAAGGACAATGTAGAGAGAGAGAGAGAGAATCAAAATATGCCTCGAACAATTGAGTTGATGTCAAATTATTACTCCTAGCTTTCCAATTATAGTCCATGATATCACATAGGCAATAGCATACCTGTTGTAATTTTACTTATGACATAACAATTGCTAAGGCCGACATTTTGTTACATAAATTATATTATTGTATTGCATTTAAATGTTAGGAATTAGAACTTCCAAGTTTTAAAAAATTCTTGCAAATCTTCTCATTCTCCCGAATTAGATCAGGAGATTCTTTCTAATAGGGTGGATATCAGACCCCGGTCATATCGAAGTAAGGGCATTAAAGAACATTCAAAGATATGGATAGTGCTTCAATTTTTATTTTTTTAACAGAAAATAGAACCCTAATGTGAGTAGAAAAGAGATCAAGAATTCAGCAAATATGTTTGCATTGCCAAAGAAGGAAAGAAAAAGATAGTCCCTTTTTCCAAATTAACAACAGAAAATAATGAATTTAACTAGATTGCCCTATAAGATAGGGTGTGTAAATGAACAACAACAACAAATTAACATGTTTTTTCAATACATTCGAGGTGGCTTACATGAATCTTTTTTCACGACTCCATTTCTTGTGACGTATTCCTCACATGACTGGTACTACCAAGATTCATGTTATGTTTATGTAAAATTGTGCACTTTCTACATTTCAGCCACCTAATTATGTCTTTCACCAATTCATGTCGATACTACTGAAAATATATATTAACTTTATAAGAAAATAAAGAGAAATTAAGAAAGGCCGTACAGTGCATTTCCTCATGCCTTCGTTGTGAGCTGAGACTCCTCTGACTTAGCAGAATCCGAAACAAGATTAACAAGAAAATCAAAAATATCAGTTGTAATAACAGCAGAAGCAACATCTTCTTTGCAAAGGGTTCTTCTCTTGCCTTGCAGTGTGATATTCCAGGCCCTTTTGGTAATTTCCTCTATGAACAATTCACAAGCCTTGGAGAAAACAATAGGAGCCTCTCCAGTTATCATCTTCACATCATCATTTGATTTCTTCATGATTTTCTTGATTCTTGCCAATGGCAATAAATGGGGTCCAGTTCTGCCTGATATTCCTCCTGAAAGTATTCCTGAATATGTTCCGGGCCGCTTCATTTTTTGGTTCTGAATTTTCTTATGAGTAAACCTAAGTTTGTAACTGTGTTTTGGGTCAACCGAATACTTATTGAAATTTTCTACAAAGAGTCGACAGACCCTTCCAGTCTCCCCAATCACCGAGGGTGGCAGCATGCACAATGAGCTCTTTTGGTTCTGTTGGTGATACTTGGAAGCTTTTCAGTCCAGGTCGTAAGATACGTCAAGTTGATGGGGAATTTGACGAAATGTGAGAAAGTTGGAAGATAGGTGAAATAAATGTATGGATTTATATATATTTGTACGTCTTTTGACTATAATGAAGAGTCGAGGCTGAAATGTAGAAAGTGCACACTTGCATATTTATATATATACACATACGTGTTTGTGTTTGTGTGTGTGATTAAGAAATAAGGTAGTGGAGGGGGGGCCGGCCAGCCTGCTTGGGGCCGCCGGCTGAAGACATTGCACCAAAATGTCTTCCATTATTGCTGTATTATCTGACCTTGCAATTAATATTCATAATTAATATGAATGGACTGAATAGTAGATGTTATATGGCCAAAACATGCACCAGGAAAGGAATAATCTGCACTGGAAGAGGTCTAGGTTAAACGGAAACTTCTATAACACTTAATTAATGACATCAACTTTGAATGTTATTTCTTGTTTGGCTCTCGTTAAAATTATAATTCATTTTTCTCTTTTCTTATTAACCACACATTTTTCAATAAAATAACATTACGCGTAATTCCAAAAAAAAAATTCTACTTTTTTAATCACATATTTTTCAAAAAAAAAAAAAACAATATTCCAATCATTAAACTTTCAAATAATGGGGGGCTACATATAACGAGAAGGATTATTCTATGTGTACATTAAGGGATCCATAAAGGGATCCATAATGTACACATAGCACCACCCTAACGAGAAAAGACCTACCAGAGTACTAAATTATTGTTTTTAAAAAATGTTGTGTTGTACTTTAATTTATGTATTTAATATATTTATATTGTTCTAGTGCTAATATATAATTATCAAATTTGTAACTTTTGACTTTTTAATGAACAATTTTAATATATTGTCGAAATAATTATTACTTATTAATTGATTAAATTTAAAAATAAATATAAAATAAAATTAATCATCACATGAAAATAATTATAAATCAATTAAAATCTATTAATATTAAAATATTAAAGAGAGATATAGATTCAATAAATATTTTTTGTAAAGTGGAAAGAAGGGTAAAATAGGTTTATTGAAATTCTTATATTCGGTGTATATGATTACATCAAATTTGGTGTAACACTATGGGTAAATATATTCACGCCACAATTTTTGTTATCTACACCACATTTTAACTACGATGAATATCTCAACTTTTCTTATTTTCACATTTAAGTTCTCAGCTTTTTTAAAAAAAAATTATCATCAACCCTTTATTAATTTTCACATCTTGTCTATATAGATGATTTTCATTCAAGATGTTTGTTATGAGGACGAAAAAGACATTTATCTCTAGTATTTTCTTAAAAATCGAAATAAATAAATTATACAAAAGTTGACAAAATATTTGCCACTCTTTTCAATGCACGTTAGTGGAATATTTGGATAAAAATCGTGATTAAAGATAAAATATGTTAATTAATTGAAGGTTGAGAATAATAATACAATGAGAAAAAAGTCGAGGACAAAAAAACAAAAGTAAGAAATTTTTTAAAACATTTTTGTGAGTAAAATTTGGTTCAGAAATAAAAAATTGTTGTCTAAATATAATTACTCTTAACACTATTCATCACACTATATTTGACCTCTCATTGAAGAGGGTTTTACACCAAATTTGATCCTTTATTGGAGATGCCCTATGTTTAATGGTAGATAATTATTCTTAACTACAATGAAGTTGAGATATTTATTTTGAATTATCAACCTTCAGTGTATATTCTTGTACCTATAAGCATAGCAGAGGGAATACTGTGTTATATAATTATTTAAATACATTTATAGAAAAATTAAACGGGCTTATTTTAGTGAAAAAAAAGATGAAAAGATGTCACTTTCTATCACATTTAAATATATTTCAGTCGTTTTTTCAAAAAATAAATAAATAAATAAATATGTATATATTTATTTATTTATTTATTTAATAAGGTCAAATTGTTGTTTGATTCGTTAGCCATATTCCAGACAGGGTTTTTGTTTATTTGCAAGCAATCTTCAGGCACATATACAATTGTTCTAAATTAAACAACTGAAAATCATAAAAATATTCTGTACACATTCATTGAACAGTTAATAAAGGCAAAAATGCAGACTCTTCACTTACAATTTTGTATCCTTTTTCCTTGGAGACTACTACTCTATTAAATTTCTTCATAGCACTACAACAAAAATTGCCTATGACAACGCGCGAAAAACGTTGCCATAAACTTTTGGCAACGTTCGGGTGCACGTTGTTGTGCTTGACGTTGCCGTAGAGTTCCAACTTACAGCAACGTGCAGTGAACGTTGCTATATGATCTACGGCAACATGCAATGCACGTTGCTGTATGAT